TGTGTGTGTGTGTGTGTGTGTGTGTGTGTGTGTGTGGGTGTGTGTGTATGATCTTTGAAAAGATCAAATGGATTAAAATTCACAGGGCTATCCCAAACTCTCCTGGCTGAATCTGCCTACCTTTCTTTCCCCCTGACAGCAAGCATATGTAGCCTATCCTTGACCCTGAGGTGCAAGTTCCCAAGAGGCTTCACCTTGCCTTTGGCATTAAAACAAGTCCTTTGCACTCAGAAACAGTGCTTTGCTTACGTGTAGCTGCCTCATTTTTCTCTCTTATGTTTGTGTTTCTTCAGGTTCCATCTCGGGTCCTATACCATACAAAGTATTGTTGCTGGATCTACTCACCTGTTTTCAACGAAGGCACATTTGTTTGAGGTTGGTTATATAAAATGCTAGTGGGGAGCCTCTGTAGCTTTTCCCGTAAGTTTGCCTGGTGTAAGTGAAATGGTGTCTTTTCATGCTAATTCTCATCCCTTTTCTGTGTCTCCCTTCATCAGTGTTAATGATGCTATAATGAGATTACCTGTAGAGGTTTGGATGTATGGCAAGGAGAAAGCATTCTGAATCCATCCTTAACACTATTCCCTTTTCTTTCTGATACAAATAATTTCAGTGGTAATAAAATTACTTTGAGAAATTCCATTCAAAAGGTGAATTTAAACTTTAGGTACCACTCATTGTTTCTTGAACATTTTTTAATATATATTTTAAGTTAGAAAAATTCATTCTTGTGGGAGTAAAGGAAATTCATTTTTAAAACCACTTCAGATATCACCATGCTTGGTTGAGAACTCCATGTAGAGACCTTCGATGTTAAAGCACTTCTCTCTACTGCTTGCAAGGAATCAGCAGAGCCATTGATAAGTTAAAGCTCATTTTTAAAGGATGGTCAGGTTGCTTGTCCTTTTCCTTTACAATTCTTCTATGTGGAATTTACAGGTCCAGGCATTCTTTGAAAATCAGTCGGAGGCAACGTTTCAGCTTCGTTGTGTCCAGGAGGCCTTGGAAGTCATTCAGTTGAATATCCAATGGATGGAGAAGAATCTCAAAAATCTATCTTGGTGGCTGTAGCATGCACAACTGCACCTCGTTTTGTCACCCATTTAGAGAGCTTGTGAATTTGGGCTCTGTTGCTTCTGCCAAAGCCAAGGTGAAGCCAAGACTGTGGCAGAGTTGTTTGCACTGTTAAAAGTTCTAGTTAGCTCAGGGCCCAACTATCTTTTCTGAAATGTCTTTAGGCAGTATGTAGTTATTTATTACAAAATTATATTAATCTGTATGCCAACCATCTACAAAAACAATAAGCAATTTTTCTACCTTGAAGATATATGGGGAAAAAAATCATTTTTGGAATTCTATCCTATTTCTCAGTGTCCAGGAAGTTATTGAACCAGTGAAACAAGGAAAGGTCTGCTGTAAGACCCACCATCTTTGCATGCTGCTGGTTTGGCAGCCCTTTGTTGCTTCTTGTTTTCAAATGCTATTGAAAGGTGGCTCAGAGCTGGCCTTGAAGGGTATGATAATGAAGATGGTGACACATGCAGCTGCAGAGAACTGATTTGTGTGCAGATCTACTTTTGATTTCAGGGTTTTGAGTAATCCTTTATTTTCTGAAAAAAGTTTAAATAATATCTCTATTATATTTTTTCCTGCACAATAGCTGGGTGCTACAGAATTTTTAAAAAATTTTTGTTGTTATTGAACAGATAAATAACCAGGACAAAAGGTTAAATTTTCCAAATATTTAATACTTTTTGTTTCATCTGTATAGTGTTACCATAGGAAAATGTTCCAAACTGAGTTAGATTTAATTATAATTATTTTTTTTCATGAATGCCAATAATCCCCAAAATCTATACACTGTCATCTCTCCTGTCCTAGATAGGCCTTTTTTTCAGATAAATATTTGTTTTAGATAAATATTTCTGTGTTTGTGACAAACAATCTGTTGGCACTGGTGTTTTTCATTGTGACTTGTATCACTAGTACTAAGAATGCAATTTGCTTAAGTTGTCTTTTGACCTCACAGATCATAGATACTTTCTCTCTAAATCACACCCATGTGTGGATTTTCATTTTATATGATACAGTGGCATATTAGAAGCATATTTTAAAATAGGGCCTTTGAGAAATTAAAAAATTTTATTTGAAGTTCACCATAGTACCTTAAAGAAACAAAGAGAATGTGGGATAGGAATAAATCAAATTCATGCTTAATATGGTGGGCTTTGAATTTTTTCACTATTAAAAAGAGTACTATACTTTGGTTGAAAAAAAATCATATTCTTCTTTTATTATGGCCAAACTAACATTAAATGGAGTGGCCAAGGAAAGACAGAATGAAAGAAAGAAATCCAAAATTGTATGGCATTTTACTCCTGAAGGAGAAATACTGTACTTGAACTTTTTGAGCTATGCAGACTTTAGTAGATTGTTATGTTTCCTTGATTCTTAGTAGAAAAGTTTTCTTCATAATAACTCGAGAACTTTATATTTTCTTTGAAAACAGCATATATGTACATAAAAAGGGGAATGACTTATTTGTGAGCACTTAAAACACTCCACACAGTCAGACATTGGGAAAGGTCACCTTTTTTTATTCAGCAGATATGAAGTTTGGATATGTGGGGTTGTGTACAAAGTTATATTTTATTTTATGAAAATATTTTTATATAACAAAATTTAAAAGGCTGGCAAGCTAAAAGATAGCCTGCTTTAATCCTAGTGTGTCTTTCTCAGTTTAGTCTTTTCTAAACATTGATTTGTTTTTGAAAATATTATGAGAATCACAGAATCAAATGAAGATGTCTTATTGAAACTGAGATGATTGTAGATCTTTATTCCCCTGTGCTTTGGTAAATGAACGATAATTTACTTGATATTTAAAGGTAGTATGTTTTTGTACTTTCAGAGTGAAGGAAAAAATATTAATCTTTTAGGGAATTTTTTGTTACTGGCATTTTACCATCTTATATTACTAAGTTCCAATTTGATACAGAGTTTAAAGTTTGCTACTTCTTGAAATCAGTTAAGATTCTTCAGTTTTATCACCCCATCTTCACATTGCTCCTAAAATATATGTTAACTCTGCATTCGGCAAATCTTGTATTTAATTGATATAATTTTTTTTCTGTGACTGTATGTGGGGTACAGGTGGTAGCATGTTGTTGTAAGTAAAACCTTACCAAAACATGGGCTGAAAAAGAGGTAACTCATGATCCATTACTCTCCCTATACCCAAAGATGTTCATTGCCATGATACTGGATCCATACTATTTGCAATTTTTATTTGTAGCCCTCACCTCAGTATTTTTGTCATGTTAGTAGGCCTCATCTCTATTTTTCCCATGGATTTCCATAATTTTTAATGTTATGCTAACCCATTTATATGGGAATTAAGTCAGGAATACAAGGTTAAATGAGAGGTATAACTTATAGTTATTAATTATATTGGTAGTTTTCTGATCCTCTCCCCCCAGTTTTATGTTATGCATTGTATTTCTTGGAATGCAGAAGCACAGAAGTCGTAATATGCCTTCACATAAGCACACAGCTATCTGACATAATTGAGTACTTGTTGAAATGAGTATTCAGTTCATTGAAGAGAGACGATCTACTTGAATATACTATAAAAAGGCACATGCTACTAAATCATTAGGAAAAACAGAATTGGAAATCTAGAATTGTATAAGGAAAACATGTACCTTGCAGACCTGAAAGGTTCAAAAAAAAAGAAATTGGAGGAGTTCAGATTGTTCTGTTGTTATGAAGGGATTAGACATTATACTGCAAGTACTGGCAGCTTCCATCTTAAGCTTATGCCTTCCTCCATCTGTTTTTTTAAGTTTCTTTAAATGAAATTGTATTTGTCCTTGTTTCAGTGTTCACAAAATTACTATATCAGGCTCTATTTAACTTTTTTTTTTTGCTATATGTTTTAATTTTATGGGACTTTAGCCACTGTTACTGTAGGAATAAAAATGCTCTCAGAAGAGTCCTGGGTATAGAGAGCAAATCAAGCTGCATCAGTATTTTTGGGCACCAATTAGAATCCTTTCTGAATATTGGGAAGTAAGAAGTCATATTAAGTGCTAAGTTGTTTAGAATACTGCTAGCCTGTTACTGAACAGGATTTTAATAGTCTATGCAAACTAAAGCATTGGAACCAAAATTTGAACTTAGGCTGCCGAGCATTTAAATGACTCCCTTGTGTTTCATGGGGCCACAGGGAAGGTACAATGCATCTCAGATTTATCATCACCAAGGACAGCAGTTCCTGGACTGAGTGGCAAAATTAGCCCTGGATTTTGTTACATAGGCCTAAGAATTGGGGTCATAGGTATGATGGAGCTTTTCTCACCTTTGCCTTTATTACTTTTGTTTTTATTGGAATTATCTCTTTAAAAAAAAAAAAGCTTTTTCCCTCCTAACCCCCATTTGTATTTTTTAAAACTAAGGTATATTTTTTGCTCAGTTCTGCATTCTTTTATTTTGTGCTCTGTTCTCTTCATTGGCTAGTAAGTACCAAGTGAAAAGTGGAGGTCCAAAAAGGGATGATGAATCCCCTCATCTCCCTTTCCCATTTGCCTGCATGGCAATACCTAGTAGAATAATTGATTTTTTTTACATGGTTTGGGAATATATATATACTTTTAAAATGTACGTATGTGTTTTTTTGTTTTTATATCTTTCATCTTAAATATTTTGTCTTGATGAAAAATGAAATACTGTCCTGTGAATCTCTCTCTCCCCTTCCCATATTACCTTTGTAACAATAGCTACAGAGTAAGTATTTGGTTTCTTTTTCTGAAAGGAAATGGTAGTGCTGGAAGGAATGCAGAGTAGCCTCTTTTAAAAGTATGAACAAATGAACTAGGTACAGTGGCACACGCTTGCAATCCCAGCAATTTAGGAGGCAAAGGCAGGTGGCTTGCAAGTTCAGGTGATCTTGGGTAACTTAGTGAAACCCTGTCTCAAAATAAAAATTAAAAAGAACTGGGAGTCTAGCTCAGTGTTAGAGCACCTCTGGGTTCAATCTCCAGTAACTCCCCCCCCCAAAAAAAAATAAGTACAAATGTTTTTGCTGCTATTTTGTTTTGTTTCATTTTGCACTTCATTTTTCTTTTTCATGGGCATGTCAATGAACTGTGGAGGTCCACAAGTATGGAATTGTCCCATTTACCTCTCTTATTGCCTGCATGGATAATAGCAGAGTGGTCATATTGGCGGTTGCTTGGATTTAGTCTTAGGGACTATTGTTCTTTCAAGTGTATATAAACATTATGCTACTTCTTACGCTTCATTTTATAGGTCTTTGCATGGTTGGATATATGCTTAAAAATTGAGCTTTAGAATATAATAAATCTCCTGCTTTCCCTTTTCCTTTTTGTCTTGTTAGGCAGTAGATAATAAGAGTAGTTTGTTGTGTTTGCGGTGAATGGGATTTGCACTCAGTGTATATAAATGTGCTTGCTACTATAAGGTATTACTATTTCATTTTGTACTGTGTCCTCCTCAAGGACATGAAAATATCTAGTGAAACATGGAGGTCCAGATGTGTATCAGTTGCCTCTTCTCTCCACCTCTTATGCCTGTTGGGCAGCAGCTAGAGTAGTTGTGGAGTGAGGTATTTGGAGGGTAGGGGAAATGGGAAGTGCACTTAGTGTATATATGTGTTCTTACTGTTATCTTGTATTAACTCATTGGGTAACCAGACTGGAAGCTACCTAATGAACCATGGAGTTCCAGATGTATAACAATCTCCTCTTCTCCCTTTCCCTTACTGCCTGTTTGGGCAATACTTTTTAAAACAATTTTGAGTTTTTTGAAGGTTTTTATGCTAGAGGAGTGAAAGTGGTTTTAAGGTAAGAGTATATACTTTAAACATGTATATAAATGCTTTTGCTGATTTTTTATTATTTTTTCATTTCCTATCTTGTCCTTTGTGAAGAATGTTGAGGATTTTTCCATGACAAATCTGCTCTTCTCTTTCATTGTATTATCTGTGTGGGCAGTGTCTGGTAGTATAGGCAGTTAGTTGCAAGGCTTCTGTAGGTGCCAGAGCATATACTTTTTAAATGTATGTGCATATTTTTACTTCTTTTTTGCAGTATTTTACTGGCTCACAGTCCTTCACTTGGACATGTGAGGTTCCTAGTGCACCACAGATTCTCTCCTCTTCTCCTTTTTCCTTTTTATTTGTGTGGACAATAATTCTAAAGTATTTTAAGTTTTTAGGGATGAATGGGGACTAAGGACAGAATATATACTATAAAACATGTCTGTGGTTTTGTTACTGTATTGTGTTTTTTTTATTTTGTGCCAGGTCTTTTGTGTGGACTTATAGGTATCTAATGAGACATGGAGGTCCGGATGTATGAAAATTTCCTCTTTTCCCCTTTCCTTATTGCCTCTGTGGGCAATAGTTGTAGAGTTTTAGATTTTTTTTTTTTTACTCCACACCCCAGAAGGATGGGGAATGTACTTTTATATCTGTATATAAATGTTTTTGCTCCTTTTTATGTTATGCATTTTGTACCTAGACCTTTCTATGGACATTTAGGTACATAAAGAAAATTGAGGTTCATTCTATGAAAAATTATCCCTTCTCCCCTTCCCTTATTGCCTATATGGGCAATGACTAGTAGAGTAGTTGTTTAGTTGTGTTTTGTTTTTGGTTTGGGGTGTTTGTTTTTGTTTTGGCAGGGCTGGGAATTTTCTGAGTGTATATATATATATATATATATATATATATATATATATATATATATATTTTAATGTATATAAAAGTCTGCTAGTTTTAATTTTTTTCACTTCCAGTTTAGTGTTTTGTTTGGACTTGTAGGTATCAAATATAATGAGAGACTCAGACCCAGAGGTATGATGTATCTTTCTTCTCTTATTACCTGTGTGTACAGGTAGTAGTATCTAAGTAGAGTAGGGCTTGTTTTGGTGTGTGTGTGTGTGTGGGTGTGTGGGTGGGTGGGTGGGTGTGGGTGTGTGTGTATGTTTTGTTTTGGGGTTTTTAATGGGGAATGAGCTTATTAGGAAAAAAGATTAAATGTGTATATTTTTAATATGTAAATATTTTTTCACCTTTTTGAATCTTACCCTTTGCATGACTATTTAGATATTTAATGAACATTGAGATTGACTCTATGAAAAATATCCCACATACCCCATCCTTCATTGCCTGGTGGGCAATGGTAGAATAGATGTTTGTTTTCTTTGTTGGGGGGGTCTGGTTGTACATATATTTTTAATATATATAAATATTTGCTGCATTCTGTGTGTTTTTTCACATTGTACCCAGACCTTTACTGGGACTTGTAGATTCATAATGAAACATGGAGGTCCAGATGTATGATAACTCTCCTCTGCTCCCTTTCCCTTGTTGCCTGTAGGGGCAATACTTTTATAACTTGGGTTTGCTTTTTTATGGGGAGGGTTTTTTGGGTGGGTTGTGGAAAAGGGATGGGGTATATACTTTTAAAAAATGTACATAAGTATTTCTGTTATCAGGCTCCTTGTCCTTTGCATAGATAGATACACAGGTGCCTAATGAAAATCGAGGATCAGTGTATGACAGCCTCCCGTTCTCCCCTTCCCCTTACTGCCCGCACAGGCTATAGTGAGTAGGATACTTGTGTGCTGTCTACTCAGTTGTTTGTTTTAGAGGAAGTTTTGGTAGAGGGATAGTCTTACTAAGTATAGATATGTTTTCATTTCTGGGTTGTTTAATTTTTTTATTTAGTCCTTTGTATGGCTGTGTAAGAACCTAATGAAAATTGAGTTTCATAAGTTAACAGAGCACTTCTACCTTTCCCACATATTTCCTCATCTAGTGGTAGTTAGTATAGTTGTTTTATGGTTATTTGTCTTTATTCTTAAGGCTACATACCTTTAAGGATATAAATACACACACACAAAAACAAACACACACACACACACACATATATATAATTTTTTTCTTTCCCTCCATTATTTCCCTTTTTACTTGGTCCTGTGCAAGGCTCTGAATGTACCTAACAAAAATAAAGGCTCACTAAGTCCTTGCCAGATGGCTTGAAGGTGTAGCAGTGTGGTGGTGTAACTAATGCCAATATGCATGCAGCAAATAAAACAAGAAAGGACACTTGGATATGGTTGAGTAGCAAAAACTTATCAGATCTAGCATTTTTTGTGTTGATTTACACTGAGTGAAATGGTGAAAAGGAACCTGTACTTTTGTACATTCCACAAAGGCAGAGGATAGTGCTAAGTAGAGGTGTGTTTAATCTTCACTGCTGATTCATCATTCAGTAATTGGCAAGGTGTTGAAGCAGGTAAGCCAATTGAAGACCGTAAGAGTAGGTTACTTTTAAGGCCTGGAATTTTGATTTATCTACAGAAATCCTTTATAGATCAGTAACATATTCTTTCAAACCCAGTAGGAATTATTTTTGACTGTTGGAATTAACATTTTGAGTAATTTCCATTGCTTTGGTGAATGACAACATGGGCCCAAAAACTAATCCAAAATAAGTTTTGGGGACAAGCCCTTCCCATCTTTCAACATCCACATGTGGCAGGGCAAGTTCGCCCTTTTCTACCCAGAACTCTTTTGTGTGGCTTATCTCTTTCCTCAGTTCTCCTTAGGCTGGACCATCCCTGCTCTTTTTTTCTCTTTTGTCTTCAGTGTCTGCACGGTTAGATTATCTTCAGTTGTGCTTAGAAATTTAAGCCAGTGTTGCCTCATTAGCTTTGTTCTTTTTTTTTTTTTTTTTTGAGCAATTCATGCACCCAGGCCTGTATGTTTGCTTTTAGCCTTCTTATATTTCACATTGTGTCTTCATTTGCCACCTGGTACATGTTATGACTGCACATTTGTCTGCATCACAGAAAATGCATGTATAAACCTCCTTCTTCTTACTGCAGCATATTACAATTATTTGTTTGGTTTTCACCTTTGTAATGATGCTGTTTCGTGCTTAAGATTTGCCATATCATTATTTCAAAAACATTGAGTGATAGGATTCCTAGAAAAGTTGGAAGGACATATTATTTACCATATCAAACTCAGGTTTTAGTGTTGAAAAATTAGCTTATACATTGCTGTTACTTATACCTGCTGCTGTAGGAAAAATAAGAGTTTATTCATGACACACTTAACTTTGATCATAAATAAGAGAGAAACGGGCACCTTTTCGCAGTTAGTCATGGTAGTCATTAGTGATATTTCTGAACAGTTTTTAATTTGAAGTACTTCAAAGGAAGTAAAAGGTCATGGCTTAGCTGAATGAAATGCTCCAGAAGTTGGACTGTGTAAACCACCAGTACAATAATATACTTGTTTGTGTATGTGTATATAAAATGAGAATTACAGCATAATTGGAGCATTTTCATTAATCAGCAAACTCACATTGAGACAAACCTTAGTCTTACAGCTGTCTTGATTAAAGCCAAGTGTTCCATGTTGCTGTGAAGTTAGGCTTTTTCAAATACTTTGAAAAGTAATTACTTGGAAACTTGTAATAGTATTACATTTTTGTATTTAAACACCTATAAAAGATCTTCAATTCCTTCAGTCTGAGATTGTTGGTGAAAAATCTAAATTTGTACTACAATATGTCTTTTGTGGAAGATTTTGAAAATAGTGTGTATATATATACATATATATGTATATATATAATATTATATATGCAAATTGTGTTGTTTCACCTCTAAAGGGAAAAGGTTTATTTTTCTTTATACTTCTCATAACTTGTTTTGCATATGACCAGCACTGATTGAAAGGCATGTTTAACTGCAAACACTGTTGCTTATTTTTTTTCCTTTGGGAAATGAAAATAAAAATATTTAAATACAAATATTGTGTGGACTTTTCAGATTACAAAAGATACCTTCATAAAGCAATAGTTCTTCTTAGATTTCATAATCTGGAGATTATGCCCTACTCTACCAGGGTAGCTTCTATATACATTGTATTTCCTGATTTGCTTTCTACCTAACCAGTACCCAAGTATTCTTACTATATTTTAACTCAAGGTTTCTCAAACCCACACTATTGACATTTGG